TGACGCTATTTTGTTGGATCAGGAAAACTATCACATCCTTAAGCTATTCTTCTCAGACAAACCCTATTATCAGAAATTAGTGGATCTCATGCATGAGGTGAGCATTTGTTACCCAAAATGGGCGACAAATATTCTGAATATTATATTCATATTAATATGTGATTTATAAAAAAGTTTATAATCTACTTCAATATGAATAGATCACACGGTTTACGTCATACGGACAGTGTATGGACATGGCGTCAAATGTTTCTAATAAACGGCCGCAGTTTCATCTCTTCACTCAATTACAATTTGAAAGCATTGCTAAATACAAAACCGCTTTCTATTCGTTTGTTTTGCCCGTAAGACTCGGTATGAATTTTATAATAATTAATATTACATTTTAAACCATTTATTGAGAGATTTTATATAAACCATCAATTTCCATGCAAAGGATGAAAGTAAACAACAATAATGAGCAACTAATCTGATATATAACTGCTTTGATCTGAATATTTTAAATATTTACAATATGTTTAGCAAAGCGTTTACCAAAATTTAATTTTACACCAATTTTGTATCAAAATTACTGTTATATAGCGCTGTATATGTCATCGTTTGATTCAGAAGAGGACCACAAAATAGCCGAAGAGATACTATTAAAAATCGGACATCTATTTCAAGTACAGGACGACTATTTGGACTGTTTTGGAGATCCGGCTATTATTGGCAAAATAGGCACCGATATAGAGGAGGGCAAGTGTTCGTGGCTTATCGTAATCGCGTTTAAAGTGTGTGATAAACAACAGCGAGAATTCATTGAAACTAATTATGGTATAAAAGATGGCGATTGTGTCCGTAGAGTGAAAGAGGTTTACAACAAACTCAACCTAAAGGATGCCTTTCATAAGGAAGAAGAAAAGCAATACAAGGAAATCAATCTTCTAATCGATAATTTGAAAACAAAATCCCAATTACGTCCTAAAATATTTACAGAATTTTTGGATAGAATTTATAAAAGGCAAAAATAAATCCTCGTTTCGGCATTCAATAATTTTGAAGAGACTTTTAAATTATAATATTTATTTTTTTAGTTAGAATATATTTTAAAGTAGATACAAAATTCGGCAAAAATAAATTTAATATAAATATTGAAACTGTTNAAAATAAATCCTCGTTTCGGCATTCAATAATTTTGAAGAGACTTTTAAATTATAATATTTATTTTTTTAGTTAGAATATATTTTAAAGTAGATACAAAATTCGGCAAAAATAAATTTAATATAAATATTGAAACTGTTTATCATTTTTAGAATTAACAATATTTTTATTAATTTCTACATGTTTGCTTTAACATATAAGTTATGATATAACTAGTAACACTAAAAATAAATAAAATATTCTTTTGGATTTAAATGCTATTAATTTAATTTTATAATACATGTATTTTCAAGTATTAAATTAAATTAAAATTTTATCTAAATAATTTATGTACTGATACAATTAAATTTACTAATTAACTGCAATTTGAAAATTCATTATTAATAATGTCGGCAACAGTTTGTGGGTCAATGAGATGGATGTGATGCTCACCACTCGCTTCAAACAATTTAAATTTCTTACAATTTCTTTTGTAGAATTCAATAAACACATCGTTATTGTGTTGAGAGTCGAGTTCCGCACCATTTTTAGCTCTAATGATAATGAGTTCACATTCAATACGATTACAATATTGAATAAAATTGTCACAATCCATGATTTTAACAAATATAGTCTTAATTCTGTTATCACGTGTAAAATACTCTCCCTTTCCGTCAGACGATACTTGAGATCCTCTATTGAGAAGACATTGAACCGACTCTTCGTCTAGTTTTCCGTGTCTTGAATGA